ATGGAGGAAGGAGTGGTTCTGCTGACATTACCCCCAGTCCAACCTGGGGAATGTGTGCATCCCCTTCCCACAACTTCCAACTCTGGACTTAGAGGCCTTGCCCTTTGGGTGGAGGGAATGATGCTCCCAGGGGCTGTGACGAGAGTTTCAGTAAAGTTCAGGCTGCTGCTTGGTCCCTCTGGGTTCTTGGCGCTGACAGGGAAGGAAAGAAGTCACCTTCCTGGCCGTGGTAATTGTGGCTAATCGTCAGGTGAGCTCGGGCTGCCTGCATCCAAAGGAGACGGAGATGTTTACCATGAAAGGATCCACCGAGCCCCTTTAGTAGCCCCTGTCCGACTTTGATGGCAAATGATCAGGTGTTGGAGCCACAACTTGAGAAGGTCTCAGACCACAAGGTCACCCAGAGAGAAACCACTTAGATCAGAGGAGAGGCTCACTTGTGGGGGTGGGGCAGATGCTCAGCAGACAGCGAGGACCATCAGCAACCTCCAGACAAGCTGCAATGGCAAAGCCGTAGCTCAGCCCTTACCTTCTCCGTGTAAGTCCCCCCGAAAACCGTGCAGGAGCTGCTCTCCGGATGTGCACATGGTGACGGGTCTAAGTGGCACGGGGTGGCCTGTGGTGGCCACGCCAAGCGCCGTTCACATCTCTCCCCCTACAGGGCCAAAGCACAGCCCCAAGGAATGGCCCCTTTCTTGCTCAAAAGCAAAAGTCTCTCCTCAGAGACTTTCCTAGGCTGGAGAGAGCCACCTCACCCGATGTCACACCCCCTCCTGGTGCAGCCTGTGTCTGGTGACTGGGTGACATGGTGCTAAGATCTGGTCCCTTTGCCCCAAATTGGGAAAACTCTGGAGGCACCTCTGAGCTGCAGAACTTCCCACAGGACTGGCTGGGGTCTTGTTTGCCATCACAGTCCAACTCTCCCTTCTGTCTATCCACCTTCCTTCCTCCCCCACATGTGACCTCGAGTCTCCATCCCAGCAAATCCGTGCATGCAAGCATCTGTCTGCAAGCCAGCCTCCTGGGAGCTTGACCTGCAACCCTTCCTCCATCCCCCCTTTCTTTATGCCGCTGCTTGGAACTTGGTTACGATGGATGGAGCTCCACATGGCGCCATGAGGATGAGGGCCACGCCCTAAGTTTGCTAGTGAAGGAGTCTAGCAAACTGGGTCCTGGATGATGGTGGAGCTACCATATTGGCACAGACGGCTTGGATCTGAGCTTCAGTCCTTTTAAAATCACTGTTATTTGGGGTTTCTGTTACTAGCAACTGAACGTTAATTCTGATGCAGATACCCCGGGGAGCGGGCAACGGGAGAGATGCACCAGGTTAGGGAGGAGGTGGTGGGAGGCTGCTGGTTCACATGTGGGATTGACAGGCACACAGATGGTGCTGAGAGCCATGGTGGTGCATGCCCAGAGAAGAGGAACGGGCGAGGAGCGACTGAGGCAGGCCAACATGTGCAAGGAGGAAGGGAGAAGGAGACAAGGAGACCCCATTGGAGCAGCGGCTGAGGTGGGTGCCCCCTGCCCAAACCAGGGCGGCAGAGCCATCCATCCAGCGAAGGTGGTCTGGCGGGTGGGTCCCCATCATGGACTCGACAGGGCCCCAAGCCTTGTGAGAGGACACACGAGGCCCGCGGTGTCCATGCCTGCCCCAGGCTTCAGGCTCCCCTAATACCCAACTGCTTTTGCCTCTTGAGCGCCCACCGCTCACTGTTCTGGCCTCAGTCCCTTTGCTCAGCGTCCCCTCTGCCAGGAACGCCTTTGGCCCCTTCCCCAGCTGACTTCTCCTCACCATCATGCTCAGCTTTGTTCGGGTTTCTCCAGGAAGCCCTCCCTGACTTCTCCTTCCCCGCCCCGCCTCCTAAGCAGAGCGCCGTGCTCCTCCTTCCAAACTGCATCTTCCACAGAGAATCCTGAGCCAATGGTGGAGAGTGGGACACTCATCTCTGTACCACGGGGAGTGCATGAGACCCACTAGGTGCCCTGCAGATGTTTATGGAATAAGTCATTGTTCACTGCAACTTCTGTGGCTTATTTAAATCTCCATCTAGTTAGGAATCCCATAATAAATCCCTTCATTAGGCTGTCTTGTGTATTTATCCATTTTACCTAAAATGCCAAGCTCACCAAAGTTCTTTGCAAGCCATAAGCTCTCTGATGCACTTAGGGGATGTCGCAGGGTTGGGATCAGAGCATGGTCCCTGCTGGTCCTCTCTTGGCTGCTTGCCGAGCATCCTTCCAAACTGACGCCCATCCCTGTCCAGAGACCCACCAACTGCCCCCCTCCCCGTCGCAGGAGCGCTTATGTTCAGTTACCCTCATCCCCCCACCACCTGCACCTTTGGAACCTCTCCTTGGGAACAGCAGACTCTACCTCCCACTCCACACAGGTTTCTGTGCTAATCCTAATTTGGAAATAATCACTACAAATTGGATCTCTATTCGGGACCTCCCACACTTCTCTATTTAACTCCAGCACATTAACAAATACCAAAATATTCCTGTAAAAATATTTCTCCCCCAGAGAACATTGTTCCTCGTTCCAGGCTCCTCTGTTTGATGCCATCTGATCCGGGTTGACTGTCGACTTATAATTATACTTTTACTGAGACCTGCCGTGTCTCTGTCAGATGCGCCATGAGAAGAACCAGAGCCCGGGTTGAGGGGGACAGGTGCACAAGGTGATGCAGACGGGCAGAGCCTGCCTCTCCGTCGTGGTGATAAGACACAGAAAGGGAAGACACACCAGCTGAGGATAAAGTGGTCATGCTCAGATAAATGAAGGCTGGCAATCTCCACCTGTATGTTTGAAAGGTGTTGCCAGAGATGGAAGTTTCTGGAATTCAAAGCAGGGGCTTTCTCCACCGCTGAGAGGCAGCGTGTCTGCTACACAGCTCCACTCTGACACCTCTATTTGGGGGAACAGATGGGGACGAGTGGGTGGGAAGCCCGGAGAAAGGTGTGGAATGTACCTTCTAGATCAGGGATTCTAAGCGGGGGAGGCTTTGTTCTCGGCAGACAGACGCGGGGCAGTGTCGGGGCCAGTGGGGGGCGGCGGGGAGGGGGAGTGCTACCGGCATCTGGGGGGAAGAGGCTGGGGTGCTGCTGCAGGAACAGCCTGCGGTGCCCAGGACAGCCCGACAGAGGATTACCTGGGGTTGAGGTCCTGCTGCCGATAGAGGGGCTCCGGCCACAGATAAACTGTGCTCACTGGGGGCAGAGGAAAGATTGTTTCCCTCTCATCACATTCTCTGTGTTTAACTCGTTATTTGAAAAGCATACGTCAGCTCAGGGAGAAACCAGCGATATGCTCTTTACAAAAAAACAAAACAAAACAAAACAAAACAACCTCCTCTAAAAGCGGCCGGTGAATTCAGGTCAATAAACGCAAACAAAACCAGAAGTTGTATATTAATTCCAATAAATGTTTAATTTAAGGCAAAAAGAGAAAGACACAAAGGGGGACTTTACAAAGATAAAATTTACATTTGCCCATGAACACATAGCTCTTCGAAAGCCTTAAATACGAAGTAAAATAACATCAACATAAAATTCTTTTAAAGCCACAAAACTGGGTGTGTGGGGGGTAAGAATAGAAACAAGATACAGCACACCTCATTTTATTGTGTTTTGCTTTACTGTACTTCACAGATATCTCACTTTTTACAAACTGACGGTTGCGGCAACATCCGCTCACTTCGTGCGTCTGCGTCACAAGTTGGTAATTCTCGCAACATTTCAAACTTCTCACCATTATTATGTCTGTGATGCTGATCTACCATCAGTGATCACCGCTCATGGGAAGCTCAGATAGTTTTTTAGCAATAAAGTGCTTTTAAATTAAAGTTAGGTACTTGTTTTAGACTTAGTGCTATTGGACATTTGATACACTGCAGTGTAAGCAAACGTAACTCTTACACGGGAAACCAAAAAAATTCATCAGACTCACTTTATCGTGAAATTTGCTTTATTGTGGTGGTTGGTGTGGGATCCAGCCTGCTACATCTCTGAGGTGTGCCCATAGGAAGAGGAGACACTCATGCGGTTCATGGAGGGTTTAGTAGACCTCCCTCCATAAAACAGGTATGGTATTATGGATAAGGAAATGAACTCTGCACCCTAAAAACAGACAATTCATTTCTTTTCAGGAACCTATGGGAAATTTGATTGAAAAATACAATTAATTTTAATATGACAGTAAAGAAAACAGCCAATTAAAAAAAAAGTACAGAGCATATTCCCCGATCCCAATGCAATCAAACTATAAATTAAAGACAAAAACATAAATAAAATGCCTAGCTCTTCTTATGTTTTAATCTCCTTCTTAGACAACTCTCCGTCAAAGAGAAAAGCAAAACTGCAATTCCAAAGCTATGTTGCCCAATACGGTAGCAGTTAGCCACCTGATTGCTGTGAGCGTGAACACACTAGATTTGCAAGACTTACAATGAAAAAAGAATGTAAACTATCTCATGAATATATTTTTTACTGATTACATGTTCAAATGACAATATTTGGGGGCATTTTGGATTACATAAAGTACATCATTAAAATTAATTCTGTTTCTTCTTTTTACTTTTTTTTTAATGGAAAAGTGTCATCTTGTTTTATTACTAATGTAAGCATTTGCTGACAAACGAAGATAATTTTACAAACTCAGAAAGTTTGCAAGTACATGAAATTTCCCTTTTATTGTAGTTTTATAGCACACTAGCTCAAATACGTTTCTCTACAACTACTCCAACATAACAACTCCTTTGGAATGAATTATTTTAGTCATCCTTAACATGTAACTCTGCCAAATACTTTAAACATATAAAAATTTTAATTACTAATTTTTAGATGAATAGGGTAAGAAAGTCATCAGGTGATGGTTGGGACTGTTACTATCCAACAAGAAACTGCTTAAGTGTTTCTTCTGATACAGTAGTTATTAATTAGAATTTTCAAAAAACAAGGGCAGAACAAAAAATACAAAAGAAACTTCTGCAGTTTAGGCCTCCCATAGTCCTAAACCTCTGAGAGAAGCAAGGCAAAGCAACTTCCTGCAATTTAAGTGGGTTTCCAGTATTCCCATGTAGTTGAGCTTTCAGAGATAGACATGACATATATGTCCTCTTGGCTCTGGTTGTATTAATTATGCCTGAAGAGTTTAATACCCATCCAAGTCCAAAGGTGGAAGAACACATAAACTGGTATGGTAATGGGCAGGAGCAGACTATAAAAGCATAGGCTGGTTGTGTTAGTGCAGCCCTGTGGGAAGTTTTCTTCCACGGAGGCTGAGTAGAACAGTCCTGCTAAAGAGACCAATGGAATAAGGACAGTCAACGTTGGAAGAGACAGAAACATTCTTCTCCCCCACTTATTACCTGCCACTCTGACTTTTAAAAAGGAAGTGGTATTAAGAAAGTTTAGTTGTGTGTGTTGCTGTTTTTAAATATGATCTAGTGCCGCTCCATTTCTTCTTGCTTCTTATTTTGACGTGTCATCCTAGCTGCCTGCGGTATCATATTAGGGATCCCATCAATAATTGGATAGGCTATTCCCAACTCTTCATTAATCAATTCATTTGTCGATGCTTCATATCTGAGCGGCTTCTTAGAGAGGGGGCACACCAGGAACTCGAGCAGCGCCGGGTCGAAGGCGCGGGGCGGGTCTCCGGGCCTCTCGCTCTTGTCCGTGGACCGCTGTGACCCCGACGCGTGAAGGCACCTACGGGCGACCGCGAACGGCGGCACGCGTGGGCCCCGCAGCGCTGAGGCGAGCCAGCCGCACGCTCCGCTCAGCATGGTCCAGCAGGCCGCAACCGGGCCGCTTCAGCCGATCGCCGCGCAGTCAGCCCCACAGCCTGCCAGACCCAGCCCCCGGTGCTGCTTTTTACTTTTTTAATGTGGATGCCATCCACTTAAAAGTGACAGATACTGTCCTATTATGTTTTTATAGGTAGAGCTGCCTAGAATATCTATAAAGATACATACAGTAAACACGATGTATCAAACACTATAGAACGGGGTTCATGCAGTGTTTGGGAGAAAATTCTTTAGCTTAAATATTTACACTACTACGTAAGGTTGAGATGAGATACAATTAAGCAACTAATTCAAGAACTTAGAAGAAATATAATAAAACAAACCTAAGGAAAGCAGAGGGAAAACACCAATGACAAGAAAAACAGAAAGCATTAAGTAGAAGACACAAAACATAAAAACTGATACAAAGATTCAAGAACACAAATTCAAGATTTGCTGAAAAAATTATTAAAACATGGTAAAGCACAGCCTAGTCTATTGTTTTTATTGAAATATAACTGGCACACAATGCTCTGTAGGTCCCGGTTGTGCAACATGTCTATGCCTCACTCACGTGTCGTGGGGTCACTTGTCTCTTGTCTTTTTAATGGAGAATATATCTCCAAACAACATTTGCACTGAGCAAAGGAGGAGGACTTAAGGTTTAGGGAATGATTATAGAGGGCTTTGCACAACCTCTGGTTAAATATTAGAAAATCTGGATAAAATGTATAATTTTCTAAAAAAAATGTAAATCATCAAAATTTACTCAAGAAGAGTCAGACTGAGGGGCACCTGGGTGACTCGGTTGGTTGGATATCCGACTCTTGACTCTTGATTTTGGCTCAGGTCATGATCTCACAGTCATGGGATCCAGCCCTGCGTTGGGCTCTGTGCTCAGCGTGAAGTCTGCCTCAGATTCTCCCTCCCTCTCCCTGTTTCTCACTCTCTCTCTCTTTCTCTCTCAATAAATAAATAAATAAAACCTTAAAAAGAAAAAAAGAAGAGTCAGACTGTGGAAGAAATTGAGAAAGGTATCTGAAAGCCGCCCTCTGCCCATCCACTTTCCCCTGGGTGTGGGGTGGGCCGGCTCCACAGGTGGATTCCACACCGATGGAAAATGGGGAGTAATGATGACCTTTTAAAGACCTGTAAATTGATTTAAAATCAATGCAGAAAATTATAATAAAGCCACTTCTTTACAAGTGCTAAGTCCATAGATTTCATAGGTAGCTTCTTTCAAATGTTTAAGATACAGATAATTACACTTACTTAGTATTTCCAGACACAGGAGAGTCTCACCCAACGCCTGACCAAACCTGATATAAAACGGAGAAAGAGAAAGAATGAGAAGCATCTACAGGTCAATCTCCATTATGATAAGCCACGCAAAAGTCTTAAATGAGATATTGGCAAGGAGAACATGGAAGGCATTAAAAGAAAGATACAGGAAGAGAAATGAGTCCTGAGCATGCAAGGATGATTCAATCTGAGAACGTCTTATACATATAGATGCATTTGCTGTCAGCCTTCCTTTCAGTCTTCTTAAATCAGAGAAATAGGCACTAATGGAGACGTTATAATCCCGCACCGAGAAAGCTAGCCCAACTTCATGTAAAAAGCCAGAAGGCTTCCTGTTGAAGCAAGAAGTAAGAACTCACACTATCATGTATTAGAACAACGGAAGAGGTGCAAAACTTGCACAGGAAGATGTGTGTGGTTATTAAATTTATGCCAAAATCAAACCTTTATTATATTATGAGTAACAACCAGTTAGAAAATCTGATGGCAGAGAAGATGCCCTTGACAATAGAAACAAAAAAATACTGAAGGACAAATGTCATAAATCTTAGGGCTCGGTGCTACAAACTTAAAATTCCTATTAAAAGCCATAAAAATGGTTTTAGTAAATGAAAAGCCTCCTTTGTTTTTCTTTGGAAGACTCTTCAGTAGGGATACTTTCAATCCCTGAGTTTAATCTCTAAATTCAGCGTGTTCCCTTTCCAGTTCCAACAGAATTTTTTTGGAATATGATAAATTAAAACTAGATTTTATCTGATAGAATTAACCGAGGACTGGGATCAGATAAAGGTCTGACAAAGAAGAATAATGAACATGACCATGACACTATTGGGTATTAAAACATTGGTTAAGGCCACAGACATTTAAAACAATATAATTTTAGAGCAGGAGAAATGGAGAGATCACGTAGGAGGATAGGGAATCCGGAAATGAATAAAACACATATGGGAATGGGGCATTTGATTAAAATGGCATCGTTAAATTTGTGAAAATGGGTTATTTAATAAACCTTTGGGGAGGCTCATTAATTATTTGAAATAAAAAATTTGGATTTCTTACCTTATTCTTCGTGTGCAAATAAACTTTGCATGGATCCAAGAGTTAGCTATAACAAATGGAACCATAAAAGCTAAATCAAAAGAATAATTGGGCACCTGGGTGGCTCAGTCAGTTAAACGCCTGCCTTCGGCTCAGGTCATGATCCCGGGGTCCTGGGATCGAGCCCCGCATCGAGCTCCCTGCTCAGCAGGAAGCCTGCTTCTCCCTCTGCCACTCCCCCTGCTTGTGTTCTCTCTCTCTCTGACAAATAAATAAATAAAATCTTTAAAAAAAAAGAATAATTATAGAGGACTCTGCATAGCCCTGTGCAAACAGATTTAAACACAGATTAAAATGAAGGTGGAGTGAGTCTTAAGAGGGAAGCCCCTTTTAGGTGTGTGGTCATCCCAGGGGCCCCGTGGTGTCAAAGGCTTCCTGCCAGGTGACCCCTGAAGCTGAGCTGAGGTCAGGGAGTGGGCAGGTGGCAAGTGTGCTTCAGGACAAGGCTGGCCCTGAAATGCCCTTCCCTCCATCACCCTGTGTCAAGGCCACTGGAGGCAGAAAATGCAAATCATAACGATCAGGCCCCCAAACTTGGCAGTATTCATCTGCAAAGACACCTTAAAACACACAAATCAGCTGTCAGAAACGACTAGAGAGGAAGCGGCTAGAGAAGTGGTCACCGATGGACGCTCAGGACACGGGATGACCAGCACAGTCTGGAAGGAAATCCACAGCTAGGGAGATCCCATGCATGGTAACAGAACATGGCAAGGGCTTGGGAACAGACCCGACGCAGGATGCCAGTGACCCAGGCAGGGAGTGCTGATCACCGAAGGAGCCGGGACAGAGGTGGGCAAGCAGGAGGGCCCTCGTGAAGATACTGAGTCTCTGCGCATCAACACCTGGGCCTGGGGGTGGGGGTGGAGGTCCAGTCACCACGCATCTGGTTTTACCACTGCTGTTCTTCCTTTGGGGCACCCTTCCAGCTGGAAAGGAGAAGAAGTCACCTTTGAGCAAATCTACGCTTCCCTAGTCCAGTGGCTCTCTAATTCCAGCATGTGCAGAATCACCGGAAGTTTCTGATTCAGTAGACCTGGGGCAGGGCCCAAGGATTTGCTTTTGTAACAAGTTCCCAGGTGCTGCTGGTGCTGCTGGTCGGGTGCTGCTGGTCGGGGGGACTCGGCTTTGACACTCACTGGATTCGTCAAATGTCTTAGGGGCCAGTGTAACTGGAAGCTGGCCAATCAGTTCTAGCCTCTGGGGGTCCCTTGGACCTGCCCATCATTAGACCAATTTCCAGCTTCATCCCCAGGACTTTCCACGGGAGGCAGACTGTGCGGAGGGCCCAGCACCGGTGAGCAGCACAGAGGGGACAGGTTGCTCAAATTAAAGTTAAATCTTTAAAAATAAGAAATCATAGAGGAAAAAGTAGGAGTCCGAATTTGCCACTGGCCGTGCTTCTTGTGGAAGTAAGAAGGAGGGGAGGGAACAGCACCTGCCGAGCACCCCCTGTGTTACCTCCAACTTTCAGACAAGGACCTGAGGCATAGAGAAATCCAGGTACTTTGTCGGAGTCAGATGGGGAGCTGACCCCACGCTCTGTGCTGCCTGTCCACTGCCCTCCAGCCCAGGCTGCAGAGGACATGGGGCTGCCCGATTCGGAAGGTGAAGCTCAGGGCTGGTCCAGTGCTAGACGGTCCTGGGGTGGTGGCCATGGAACAGGTGATAACCAAGGTTGAGCTCTGGTCAAGCTGCCCTGTGGTACAGACCTGGTGAGTCTGGCCAGGAGAAGAGGGCAGAGAGTGCATCCTGGGGGCCACCTTCCTGGAACGGGCACAAGGACAAGTAGCTGGGTCCCAGGAAAGGTTAGGATGGTTGATGGGGACACTGGGGCACATAAGAGCCATAATTTGTTGCCCAGCCCTCCTTGCTCCTTAAGCCTCCAAATCCCATCCGCCCACGTGTAGCCCTAGCTCCCCTTTCCGAGAAGCCTGGAGAAGCCTCATGGGGTCATAAATGAGCAGGTGCGTTGGGGTAAGGACCCTCGCGTTAACGGTGCTTCTGCCACTTCCTGCCCAACAGCCTCGGCCCCCTGAAACTTAGCAACACCCATCTTGCAGAATTGGTGTTCGGATTACATGAGGCAAGTCAGTCGGGTAAAGCCTCAAGCATGGTGGATGGCGCAGAGTAGGGACTCAATCAAGATCTGTTGAGCAGCAAATATGTTTATTTGCTCAATGTATAGGTTTACTCATTGACTCCGGAGAAAGCTGGAAGCCCGGGGAAAGGAGGTCTATCTTGCTAGTTCTGTCGGGAAGACACGAATTCCACATTTTTCATCTGTTGCAGTTGAAACCTTCCAATTTGGGAAACTGGGTCAAGCCACATCACTGTGCATTAATTATAAGTTGTGGTTCCAGCAACCTGTGGAAAGATGGGGAGCCAATCCAGCACCTGTAGTCTCCCGCAGCACCAGACGGGCCTCGGTGACAGTTCCATAATCACCGCCCCCTCCAGCCGCAGGTGTCTGCGTCTGGGCAGCTCACAAGCAACTGCTCATGCCCATGACTGCCCATGACCTGCTTTCAAGGAAGGTCGTGTTTTCCCATTTCGTGGGTGAGGAAATTGAGGCTCCAGGAGGTAGCACACCTGCTCATTCACCTTATCACAGATTTAAAGGACAAAGCCGTGGGGAGTCCTGCCTGGTTCCATCTGCCTTTCTCCCCTGCAGCCCC